TGCAATCTGGTCTCTGCTTACATACTCTAGGAGTGAAAGTCCAACAGATGGAACATCCAGAAAGAGAATGACCCTCTCTGAGGCACAAGAATAGTCATGTAAGAAGAGAGAAGACTGCTGAACAGGAAACATCTTTCAAAGCCATTTTTTTTCTTCTTCGAATCTGTGCTACCCCACAGAACCAAACATAAAATCTAACCTATCTTAACTGTAAACTGTTAATTATACTAACATTAACAATAACAGACGATCCTAAAATGCACTACGGTATGAGAAAAAAAACTACAGAACTGAAGGACTGGAGCAGTTCATTTAATCTGGAGCAGTGGTTGGAAATGCTGGGGGAGGGAAGGGGAATGGGAGGGGGCGTGCAAATGCTCTAATAGGCACTGCGCTTAAAGAAGGTTCTTCTTTAGGCTGTATCAGTCAGTGCCCTACCCATCAGTGGGAATATGCAAAGCCACTCAAAGAAGATGTGTCTTTTCAAGGCATGCAGCCTCCAAATGTCATTGGCATGATTGTTTTCAGGCCAGTATGTAATGTTCTTCTTGTGTTGACTGTGACCTGCTGTAGTTAAAATGTTTTTCATGGGGAGGAGCAAAGGAAGGAAAAGAGGAGATTTGAAGCATCAGGGTAACAGGACAGTTACAGTGATGTAGAAGCCTTAATTGAATATTTACACACCTGACAAAGTTTTTTTGAACTACAAGTTTAAGTTCTTGACATATAAACTTTCTTTTATAAGAAATTAAAACACTAATATTAATTTAAAAGCAATGGGTATCTATTTCTAACTCTACCTCCAGCTTATTTTTATTATTTTACCCCACTAGCTCTATAAGTTTCATTTCAATGTTTTCCTAACACCATTTTAAGTATTCATTATTTGTAAAAAGGTTTTGGAATCATAATAAAGAAGTCGTATTCCCCACATACTCATGTGTAAGACAGACAGCATATAAATGGATCCCTCTGAATTAGGATAAATTATAAACTGATCCCCCCTCCCCCCCCAATATAAAACTGGTAAATGAAGATTCCCTGAAGCACCCAAAAGCTCAGTAGTTGCTCCTCCATGAAATGGGGCCACTGGACACAGTGGACCTACAGTTGTGGTCATAGTGCAACTCAGCAGCTTAGGAAGGATTCCATTACCTCAACTCCTATGGAACTCCTTAGAACACAGCTGGGCTACTTGGCTGTGCTCAAGGAGGACCGATTTGTCCCTAAATGTCAAAATGATTGCATATAACAACATTCTGAAGTCTTCCTTTGTGAGTAACGGGTTTGCAGTTCACAGAAGCATATAATTATCCAAAACAGAGGTAACAAACACATGGATCAGTAATGCTAAAAACAACAAGCACAAGATTTAAGCAGACCTACCATTTACTCCTAGTAGTCGGAACAGTGTTTAGGCAGTTGGTAAACAGTGATCACAGCTCATTACACATACCTATCATTGATAATTTGTGCTCTCCCATCTTTGTTGTCTTATACTCAAGCTGTAAGCTCTGTGGGGCAAGAAGTGCCTTTGTGTTGTGTGTGTTTCTAGTACCTAGTATTATGGGGCTCCAAACCTTGATTGGGGCCTCTAGGTAATGCTATAATACAATCAACAACTGCAGTAGACACCACAGCCACTGCCATTATTCTCCAATATAGATCCTTGCCAATTACTTGTTGAAAATCGAATTTATTTCATCTAACATAATGTAGCAGCAGTATTTTCAAACTCTAGCATATTATTTAACAATGATCTCTCCCATTCCACTCCTAAATATACCCAGACTATCTTAAATCAAACAAAGTATTTCTTGGTATTCCCTTTCCAAATCAATTTAGATGGCATTTATATTTCCTTCACAACTGATGTTAAATTCACTGTCTAGTTTCCAGGTGCATTTCCTCCTTTTGTTTTAAACAGTGGAAGAGTTTTGTTTTGTCCCCTTTCTTTCCAGAAAATCTCTCTTCAATCTAGTAAACTTTTTAAAGTGGCTTGGTTGGGCAGAATTTTTATTATTTTCTTATTTCAACTTTACTTAATAGTAATTTTGAGTATCAGCAACCAAATCCTACATTATTAGGCAAACAGTGAAAACTGAATACATTTCCTTAGTACAGTTGTTCTCAGCCTTTTCTGACTGAAGTCCCTTTGTGATGAACTGGCAGATGCATATTTTGTCCATCTTCCAACACGGTTTGACACAATATAAATTGTGTGCAGCGTAGCTGTAGCCATGTCGGTCCCAGGATATGAGAGAGACAAGGTGGGTGAGGTAGTATCTTTTATTAGATGTCACTTCCTTATATGTCACCATCCTTCACAATGACAGCATAGCTGCCTGCCTCAAATATTTACGAGACAATGGACAACCCACAGATATCTACCCCAAATGCACTGTCAAACTCATCCATTCCATCCTCACCCATAACAATTTTACATTCAACAACACTTTGTCCAAATCATAGGAATAGCCCTAGGTACTAGGATGGCTCTCCAATATGCCAATCTCTTTATAAGCCACCTTGAAGAATTTCTGGACAAATGCACCATGAAACCAATGATATACTGAGAAACATCAATGGTATTTACATCGTCTGTACAGACAGCTTAAACTCCCTCACAGATTTCCAACACAACTTCAACAACCACTACCTGTCCATTTAACTCTCTCTGGAAAACAAAAACAAACAAACACACACACACACACACACACAACTTCCTGAACATCACAATCAGCTTTAATAATGGATGCCTACAGCAACTATATATACAAAACACACAGATCACCATCCCTACCTTCATAGATTCAGTAATCACCCCAAACATACCAAGAAATCAATTATCTATAGCCAGGCAATCAGATACCACAGAATATGCTCTGAGGAGAAAGTCTGGGATATACACCTTAACACACTTAAAACCACCTTCACCAAATAAGGACACTCCACCAGAGAAGTAGATCACATCATGCAACAGACCAACCAAAAACCCAGAGAGAACCTGCTTCACTACAGATATAAAACCCCGTCTGACCACACACCCTAGTTGTTACCTACCTACCACTCCACACAGTAACCCATACTCATCAAATAATTACAACCCATACTCGATGGGGAATCCATCCTGAAAGAAATCTTTCCTGAACCCCATTTCTTCAAATAACCCCCCAACCTCTCCAAGTTCATCATCAGAAACAAGCTCCCCAACAACACACCAATTGAAAACAGCACCAGACACTGCTAGAACAACAGATGCAAAATCTTCAGACATATCTCCACTGCTACACTGATCAATACCCCATACAACACACCTTTCAAAATCTATGGATCCTACATATGCCTATCACAACATGTGGTGTACCTCATCCAGTGCACTAAATGCCCCAATAACAACAATGTAGGCGAAACCAGACAATCACTACACTCTCAAATGAACTCACACAGGAAAATGATAAAAGACAAAAACACCATATCACCTGTGGGTGAACACTTTTCACAAAGCGATCATTCTATAGCTGACCTATCAGTCCTCATCCTCAAAGGAAACCTGCAGAACACTTTCAAAATATGATCTTGGGAGCTTAAATTCATTACTCTGCTAGACACTAAAAATCATGGACTGAATACAGACACTGGATGTGTGGCTTATTACAACAATCTGTAACCCACCTTTTTTGTCCAATGACTGCAGAGGTGTTAATGGGCTATTACCTTGAACAGTCCCTTACAATATATGCTAATTACTGTACATATCCTAAACAATCTGTTCCACCTTGCATTTTGCTATCATGCTGGGAGTACATTTCCTAGACCTGAAGAAGAGCTCTGTGTAAGTCAAAAGCTTGTCTCTCTCACAAACGGAAGTTGGTCCAATAAAAGATATTAACTCACTCACCTTTTCTCTCATGTAAATTGGTAGTTATATTTTCTCTTGTTATCCATTTCAGTCTTTTCTCTTCCTTCTCTTGTTTTTTCTCCTTTTTGTTTTTTGGCTTAAACTCTGTTTTGCTCTCTTGCTTTTTTGGTCCATCTCCCCTGCTAACTCCTTCCTCTTCATTTCCCTAACCACCTGAAAGCTGCCTGCCCTGGAGTAGAGTGCCCATTTCTAGTTTCATAGGACTAAGTTGCATGGCTGTGTAGAGCATCTTTGACCAGTCAGCTACTGTCTACACCTGTAAACCTCTCTCTCTCTCTATAGGAGCTGCCCACAAAGCTGGATGCATTATGTCCTACTGACAGAATAGAGAGAGAAAGCTTTACCTGAAAACTACCAAAAGCTTTACCTGAAGACTAGGTAGCTTTCTATTAGCTGTTCCTTTTCACCTTTCCAAATCCCCAACTGCCACCTCAGATTAGTCTAATGCAGGGGTTCTCAAACTTCATTGCACCACAACTCCCTTCTGACAACAAAAATTACTTCACAACCCCAGGAGGGGGGACCGAAGCCTGAGCCTGCCCCAGCCCCACTGCCCTGGGTGCAGGGGTCAAAGCCCGAACCTCACTGCTCTGGACAGGGAGGCCAAAGCTGAAACTCAAGGGCTTCAGCCCTAGGCAGAGGGCCTGCAACCTGAGACCAGCCACTCAGGGCTGAAGCCCTCGGGCTTTGGTTCGGCCCTGGGCAGTGGGGCTCGGGTTTCAGCCCTGGGCCCCAGCAAATCTAAGCCAGCCCTGGTGACCCCATTCAAGGGGGGTTGCGACCCACTTTGGGGTCCCGACCCACAATTTGAGAACCGCTGATCTAATGCCTCTTGAAATTATACCCGCCCCCCGCACCAAAAAGGTTAGAAAACACCTCCTGAAAAATTAAGTTTCACATATTCCTCTGAATTTGTTTAACACTCAAAAGCTGTGAGACTCCGTTTTCATATCTTCTAAGTTCTTAAGTATCTGCTCTCTTCTATGTGCACAATGCTCTTTAATGCTAATGAAACATGCAGAGGACAGAATCCTTAAAAGTTACAATATTTTACTTAATACTATATTCTGTCACTTACCTAGAACTGCCATCACTGTGCCATGCTTTCTCTTCATCTTCTGATGTTCCACCACTGGCAACAACTGCTTCTCCTTCCTAACAAGGAAATGATAGATATTTACTTTGTGGTGTTAAACTGAAAACTATAATTACAGTTAATACTTGACAGAACCATTATAATTCAAAGTCTGTGAAGCTTTCCATTAGAAGCTGTATCTTTCAGAGGCTTATAAGTCAACCATTAAATACAAATTTTCAACTTAAGTACATATTTTCTTTAAGGTGATTTAGTTGAATTCTTTGCTATTTAAATTAGAACAAAAACAACAAATGTATAATGTATGGAAGGCAGAAATCTAGTGGAAGGGACCCAGTAAACCTAGGTCCTTGGTTCTGCTATTGACTTCCTGTGACCTTCAGAAGTCACTGAGGGTTTTCTACCTTGGAACAATCAAGAAAATTAATCCAAATTAGCTAAAGGTGTGAATTTAAAGTGGATTAGTTACTCTGCATTAAACCCCTGTGTGAACATCACATCTGACGAAGTGACTATTCACCCACAAAAGCTTATGCTCCAATACGTCTGTTAGTCTATAAGGTGCCACAGGATTCTTTGTCGCTTTTTACAGCTCCAGACTAACACGGCTACCCCTCTGATACTTGATGTGTGAACACACTCATTCAGAATTGAAGTGGCCATTTTGGTTTATTTTAATTCAGTGAAGTCAGCCACTTCAATTGTGAGTGTCCACACAGAATTTAATGCATAGTAACTAATCCACTTTAAATTCACACCTTTAGTTAATTTGGATTAATTTTCCTTAGTGTCCCCATGTAGACAAGCCCTTCTCTCTGTTTCTTTGTCTTATCTATTTAGATTGTTAGCTCTTTGGGGCAAGTACTATCTCTTACTTTGCAAATGTACAGTACCTACCACAATGAAGCTCTGATCTCAGTTGGGGCATCTATGCACAACTGTAATGCTAATATACAACAGCAGCATAAATGCTTTCTGTCAAATGCTTTTTTGTTTCTGTAACAAAAATATATGCATTCATTTAGTTTTAGTTTATACTATGGACCCAAATATCTTGGTTTTTAACTTAAAAAAAATATATTTCCAGTTAATGGTCCACGGACCTAAGGTAGAAATTAGCTACATAGCATCCACCATAACTACTTTTTTTTAATGCTTAGGTATACCATAAATAATGTATATTATATGCACTGCATAAACTTCATACCACATATTGAAAGCAAACACTGAATCCCACAGAAATAGCTAAAATATATCTTGTCTATTCACAAGAACAGTGCATACATTGGAATAGCTCATTTGCAAAAAGGCTTTTTTGGAAGGGAAATACAATTCTATTATTTTAAAAAAATTACAAATACAAGCATGCTGGGGAACTTTAAATTAAATTGGAATGTTGGGTAAGAATAGTTTAATTTGAGTTATCTGTTTAAAAGAGACTTAAATCCATTAAAGCCTATTCTAATGCTATATCACGATTATGTAGATCAAATCTTTCAAAAATGAAGAACAAGACGTTTAAGTGTAAGAATGTATACAAATATTAATCATGTTTTCAGTTTTTTTCTACTATGAAGTGGCTAAAATGCACTGTGGAGTTCAGTGTTTGCTGCATCAATTTTCAGTTCAAATATGCTGAATCTGCTGAATTAACAAGATTTTTCTTTTAAAATGCCAGATCTGTACATTCCCATAGGGTTTTGTAAGACAACTTGGATACTTTCATTCTCATACACTATCAGCAATAAAGCCCATGGAGGCCACATTCTGTCATAAGTTACACTTGTGCAACCTCTTTGTATTCAGGGGTATTGCACAGGTGTAACAGAAGAGATTTAAAACTTGCAACTGGAACTTAGTTAACAATTAGAGACGAAATTAAATCCAGATTTATGTCCCATCATTGCATTGAATCTGCAGTGGTAATGAGTCAAAAGCCTTTATTTCTGTCACAGAAGTAAGTTAATATGACTAACATTTACAAGAACTGCTCCATAAAAAGGTGCCATTGTTACATAGTTACCTTTCAGAGCAGGTCATTTTAAAGTGTTTAACAAAAATCAAGGGACGTCTAAGACAAAAGCAACACTGGCCCACTTATTTGCAACACCAACAAAGTGACCCACAATTGAATATTCAGCTATCTGTCCATACATCTTGGTTCTTAGAATAGCACCTAACACTGTGATATCTAATCTACTCTTTCTCCAAAGATGCCCCCTAGAACAAATTGGGGACACAATGGCAGAACAAAATAAGGCAGATTGCAAGTGCCATATTACACTAGTTCAGGGGTCTGCAATCTTTCAGAAGTGGTGTGCCGAGTCTTCATTTATTCACTCTAATTTAAGGTTTCGCATGCCAGTAATATATTTTAACGTTTTTAGAAGGTCTCTTTCTATAAGTCTATAATATATACTAGTAACTAAACTATTGTTGTATGTAAAATAAATAAGGTTTTTAAAATGTTTAAGAAGCTTCATTCAAAATTAAATCAAAATGCAGAGCCTCCCCCGGACCGGTGGCCAGGACCCGGGTAGTGAGAGTGCCACTGAAAATCAGCTTGCGTGCCGCCTTTGGCACGCGTGCCATAGGTTGCCTACCCCTGCACTAGTTCAATGAATAAGAATATGCTTGGTTTTGCAACACTTCGTTTCTCCTTCTCCTTCCCCTATATTTCTCTTTAAATCATTTGTTATCATCAGCAAAGTAACTTTCTTCTGTGTTGGAAAATGATGAGCAGAGTTTCCTTAACTACTGATAATGCTGGTCCCTGACTAACTACCCAGGTATGTTGAAACAATTTTATTATGTCATGTAAATCTCACATGCTAATACTGGGATGGTTTGTCTCTGAATTTGTGTAAGAATTTGGTCATATTCTTACCTATGAAACACTACAGACCCAGGATTACATTTAAACACTCAAGCTCAATATGCACGTCTAAACAAGTAATTTCCCCTCAATTTTGCATGCCTTTCTAAACAGTCAGCTTGTTGTGCCATGACCAAGGGACATATTTTTAAAACTCTCTACACACATAATTTATGCATATCCAAACCTGGGTTTGAGAGTACAGGTTAGGCACACAAAGAAGTTTGTGCACACTTAAAAATCTGAAGCTGCATTTTTAGGAAATCTATTTAGACACAATATTTGTATGTGGAAGAGGTGTCTTTATCAAAGTGCAATATAAAAATTTACATACAGTTATAATTTTGATCAGCATAAATTTAAACATGCATGCATTTTAATGATTTTTTTTTTCATTTAAACCTTGCAGAAAGTAAAACTTTTTATATTAGAAATGATAGAAATTATATCCTTCTGGCTATAAATAATTAGTTCAACCCTTACTGAAGCTTATCCCACTTATGTATTTTATTTCAGACCTCTCTCATTTTATTTTATTATATATAAAGTTTATATAATATGATTCCACCTGTGTTTTTGCTGTTTCATTTACAGCTGTATCAAGTCTACAGAAATCTGCTATTCATACTTCAATCCTTCCATGTAAACCTTGCTAAACTTGTAAACTCAATATACAAAAAAAAGTCTGCCCTGCGTAGACTGAAATGTATGCTGAGATGCTTAAATTTAATACCTTTTGTGTTTTTGTCAATGTTTTCATCTCTGGGCATTTTTTAAAATACAGATTTTGACTCAATTTGATCCACTATACTCTGTGGAGAATGAAATACATTTGAAATAGCATTTGCAGGTGTAATTTAAATTTCTTTTGAAAATAAGCATTCCAAATATATATAGACAAATAGTTTATATAAATTAACACCTTTCCACTTCGACAGTAAATTTGTAGGCATTGTTGAAAGATTGCCAATGCACTTGTTATTACCTGAACAACTGTGAAAAGTTAGCTGAGTATCTAATTTAAACATAGAAAGTAATCAACAATAAAAATGTTTGCTTTTGAACTTGAGCAGCAATATTTAGCATAACAATGTAAACAATTTATAATGTAGCCTACTGATTCAGAGTCTTACATCTGAAGAACTGTTTCCATTTTCTAACTCTTCAGCAGGCCTGGCAGTTTCTTCCAATGCATATCTGGTACGGTAATTGTGCTGGTTTGCCTGTTGCTTTCTTGAGTCTCCAGGATCTACTATATGATCATGAGAATGGTTCTATAAGGATATGAAAATTATATAAGAATCAATATATACTTGAACACAAATGATTTTCAATAAAACCTCATTAGTATTCTGTTAATGAATAAAGTTCTAATACTGCTTAGAACTTCTTCTGGAATTTTGTAGTGGCAAAAATGTACATTTTACAAATAGTTCAAAAATCAGAAAATTGAGAACAAGGGTCAAGAAAGTCAAATGCTAATAAATGCAAACTCAATGAAAACCCATGCACATGTGCTTAAGGGCTGTAACGGTCATTCAGTACATCCCTGGACCACTGAATTCTCTCATAGACATAAAAGGAAAAGTTATCTTGACTTACCAAAAATTTCCTCGATCTTAATTACAAAGTCCAAAGAATGGCCTCTCAGCCTGCATACATCTATGTCAGACCTGTCAGACACTGACAGAAGAGGGTGCCACCAGCTACACCGAAGAGCCTGCCACTGAAACAGGTTCCATTGCAACAGATATCCCTTGTGGACTGAAATTTATTAATGAGCTTATATGCACTAAAACAATAAACTGTAAATTCCTACTGCAGAGCATTTCTTTATGAACCAATTTGAATGAACTGAAAGAGTAAGATTTACTCTTTTGGCCAATGAAATACTCCAAACAAGGAATGGTGGAACCTGTGGAGCTTATAACTCAGAGAAAGGAAATTTTCGGTAAGTCAAGAAATGTTCCTATTCTCTTTGGTTTACAAGGTCCACAGATCTGTTAACCTAATGGGATTTTATCAGTGTCTTCAGGCTGGCAATCAAGCAGAACTACATATAGGGTTAAAAACTCCTTCTCTACTTCTACAAGATCACAGCATCGGGTACCCTCCTATCAAAGTCAGCATCCATCAATGTCTCAATATCTAGCTTATAAAATTTTGAGAAGGTATGGATGGACAATCAAGTGGCTGCTTTGCAGATTCCATCATACAGTTTGTAAGATCTTTCAGCCCAGGAAGCTGCTACTATTCACAGCAAGTGAGCTTTGCTGCTGTTTTCTGGAGCGAGACTGAAGCTTAATGGATGCACTGTATCAGCCTTCTTGAACTAGCAGATTTGTATACCCGCTTTCCTTTAGATGCCAAATAATAGAGAATATTAGAGTATTGGACTTTTGAATAATCTGTGTGCGAGGGATGTAGATCTTGAGGCCTCTATGAATACCCAACATCTGCCAAAACTCTCTTGGGTCAGATGGTTTTGAAAAAATAGGGAAATACAATTGGGGGGGGGGGGAGGTTTCTGTGAAAATCCAAGTTAATTTTGTGGATAAAGGCCAATCTGTTCAAAGAATCACCTTATAATAGTGGACTATGCTGCACTGTACCTCAACAGAAAAAAGTTTTAAACCCCAAGCTCCAACACCCTCCAGGCAGAGCTGATGGTTACCAGGAAAGCCATCTTGGTGGGGAGGAAATATATTCAGTCCTTCTGAAGGGATCAAAAGGATGAAGATTCAGGGTATAAAGAGCAAACTGAGGACCTTGGGGGAACTCAATTAATCTTAGAAAAGGCCTGACATCACAGCAAAAAGAGATCTTCTTCCTGCCTGTGGAGAAAAGTATCTTAGATAATGCAGCCACTTATCCTTTTAATGCTGAAACTGTAAGACCTTTGATCACTATCCCAAGATCTGTGATATAGATGCCAAAGGAGGAGAGAAGCTAAGTATCTTGCACCACCGCTTGAACTTCCAGCGTAGAATAAAGAATTTGTGGAAACTTTTCTAGATGCCAGAAGAGTGGAGATTATACTTTGAGTATTCTCTCTCTCATGGGAGAGTGGTCAGAATTCAGGCAAGTTAGTCTTAAGTACTCTTGACTTGAGTGACAAATTGGTCCGTGGGACGCCAATCCTATCTTAAGGAAGGACAATGGAGTTCAGCTGAACCATACTGAGGAGATCAGAGAACCAGGGCCAATACAAAGCCACTAATATTACCAATCAATGCCCTCTCCCTCTTTATTATTCTGGATAGCTCTGTGTAACAGAGGAAAAGGAGATACATACAGAAGGACTACTGACCACCTCGCTGGGAGAGAACATTTGTATCCTATTGCCCTTAGATCGCTCCTGATTGAGAGAAAAAGGAGGGGGACTTTGCCATTTGTGTGTAATGCAAACGGTTCCGTCAGAAGCATCCCAAATTTCTTCAGCAGGAACTGAAACACTTGTGTGAAGATTCCACTATGCGCGATCTAGCTTTTCCCTGCTTAGCCAGTTGGCAGCAATGTTTTATTTTTATTTGACTATGTAGAGTTTGGATGGACTAGAGATTTTGTTCCATCCAGGACATCAGAAGGTAGACCTCATTGTGCAGGGATGATGATTGCATTCTATTTGTTCATATAGTCCATTGCACTGGTGGTGTCTATAATGATTAGTACACGGGAGTGTACCCTGGGACCACAGTGAATTGCCCTGAGCTCTTAATCAGTTTATACTGTTTCCTCTCATGTTCTGTTTAAGTTTCCTGTACTGAATTTACTAGGAGAGTTCCCCATCCCTTGAGGCTAATATCGGATATAAGCCCTATTCTATCCAGCTTGGCCATGAGACATCTCTTGTTAAAACAATATGCGCAGAGAAAGTTGGACTCTCCTGGTGGGATGAACAAAAGGTGTAAGGAGGCAGGGACAGTGGATGTGACTGGAGGAGGGTCTCGTGTACACTTAGGCTCATTGCCCTGTGTCCACACGTGACATGAACATCCCAGACAATGTTATCAGGGAGCAAACTAAAACTTTTCAGAGACTGCAGGCCATCCTGAACAAAGTAGTCAATTTGTGTTCTCTCTCTCAAGAAATAAAAATTCGGAGAGACTGCATGTTGATTTCAGCCCTCATATGAGCTATCCACTGCATGATGTTCAGATGGCTCTTTTCCCAGTTTAGAATGGCACAGAGGTCTTTGGGAATCAAGAGTGTTTGTACTACTGTGTCCTTACCAACTGATAATCCAGGAGTTGACAGAAGCAAACTCTTCCCTATGCCTGAGGACAGCTATCAAGACAAGTCATACCTTTGTAAATAAGCTAGGGCTGTGGAAAGGCCAAAGTACAATGAGCTGCATTGGAAGTGCTAGGATTCAAAGCCCAAAAACAGAGAAATTGTAGCAAGACTGATGAATGGGGACATAGAGGTAAGCATCTTTCAAATCTATCGTCGCCAAGGGGGAATTTAACATTTCCATCTTGTATCTCAGCTTTCTCAGGAACGTGTTGAGATGCTTCAGGTCAAGCATTGCCCTGCTCACCTCTAATTTCTTTTTGACCAGGAGCAAAAGGGAGTACACAAACCTTGTTGCCTCTCTATGGCTAGGACTGCTTCTATTGCCCCAATTTGCTGGAGATGAAAGATAGCTGACTGCATTTCCCCAATCTTCTTAGGGCCCATGGGACTAGGAGAAGGGATAAATCTGGAAGGAGGGAGAGTGAGCAGATCCCTCTCTCTGGATAATCTCTATAACCCAATTGTCAGAGATGATTTAAGGCCAATGACCTGCAAACAGGAGGAGATGATCATTAATGCTCTAGTCCATACCAGACTACTTTGGCAGTGAGTCATGAGTTATGTTCAGGAGGACCAGATGGTCCTATGGATATCTCATCCCTGCACTGGCTGCCTCTGGATCTAGACCATTTTCCCCCTGGAGAAGCTGGGATTTTCTTGTCTATTAAGCCTTCTGGTCTGGAAACTTTGAAAGGATTACTTGGATTTGTAATAGATCTAAAATTCCCTGCTGGGGAGCTTGGTAGGAGTCTGGGTTTTCATTGATTTTAGGAGTCGCCATCACTTTATCCACTGGTTCCCCAAATAATTTTCCTTCTGAATACTTTGATGATGCTTAAGTCACTTTAGCCTGAATAGCTGTCCTTCATTCATACAGCCACATACACTGACACATAACTCCAATGTAGCTCATGGCTCTTGCTGAGTACCAGAGTGCATCCAGAGAAGTATTAGAAATTAAAGTTGCTGACAGAGGACTCTTTCTGAAAGAGACATCCAAATCATAGGTATTGCCGTGTCTTTAAGTTAGGGATGTAATGGATTTGAAGAATTCTAACTTGAAGAGCTTTTCCTCCTTTTCTATCTCCTGTCCTTCCTATTCTGAATGTGACAGTTGTCCCTCCTCCCAGGAGGACACCGAGGAACTGCATCTGCAAGATCTGGATTTATGCTTTCTTCTCTTAGACTGGCCCCTTCCTGAATGACCAGCATCAGAAGACCCTGAAACAGATGTAAAGGACTCCAGTTCCTGCATCTGGATGTAGGCACTAGTACTTCAAGCCTTTAGTGATTTGATTTGAACCTGTGATTACAGAAGACTATTTGTACTTTTGGCCAGCTGATTCACCAGCATCTCCCATGTAAGATAATTGTTTTTTCCTTATAGCTTTGAATTATAAGGCCCATCCGTTGCCACTTGAAAGCATTCCCATCATTGATGACTTAAACTTTAGATGGACACATAGACAACACATCTATCTTGTGCAGCTTCAATAGTTTTTAATATGAAGACATTTCTCTGAATTACTGAAATTGTGTAATGAGAAGGTCACTCACCATGTGCAGTAACTGAGGTTTTTTTGAGATGTCCCCCTGTGGGTGCTCCACTTCAGGTGATTGTGTGCCTCTGTGCCTCTAGTTGGAGAATTTCGACAGCAGAACCCAGTTGGGGCACACATGCACTCTCCCCGACTCACGCCTGTGCAGCAGTTAACTAGTGCTATACGGCCAACTCTCCCCACAGTTCCTTCTCTACTGCAGAGGAGCCTGTGAGAACTCCAAAGTTGAGGGGAGGAGGGTGGGAAGTGGAGCATGCACAGGGACACACACCTCAAAGAACCTCAGTTACTGCACAAGGTGAGTAATCTTCTCTTCCTCTTTGAGTGATGTCCCTCTGGGTGCTCCATTTTAGGTGATTGTAGAGCAGTGTCCCTCCGTGGAAAGGAGGGGCTTTGGAGTTGGATGTGTGATCGATAAC